CCCTTCTTGCTTCTTCTACTCCTCCTTTGGCTACCATCATGAATCACAAAATGTGCTAATAAGAAGAGTGGTTTTGCAACCAACCACCTAAATAATTTAATAATAATTTTTTATTAAAAAAAATTTAAATCCAAATTATATAATATATAAATAGAGTAAAATAAAAGGTAAAAAAAATTACTTCTTATTTTACAATTAAGATTTAAAAAATAAAAAGGAGTGGTTCTGCATTTTGCCTCTATGGATCAAAAGTTGAGGATTTGATAGCGGCAAAAACCCACCGTTTGCCTTTTAACTTTTTGAATTTGAGGAATTTTACCTCTCATATTGCAATATATGGGTTTTTACCCTTCATGTTTTTGAATTTAAGAAAATGAGGCAAAATTTAATACTAGAGGGTCACATGCAACACATGTACCGTTGGCCTCCATCATATATGCACATGTTAGTGCCAACTCAAACTTTTTTGACAAGTTGGCAAGTCCAACTTGGAACCCCCTGAGTAGGAATTCTACCACTACCAATTTTATTTGTGGGCCCCACTTGTTGACAAAAGGTTTGAAAAAAAAAAAAAAAAGTAGTTAGGTAAATGCAAACAAGCTATCCAACTCTAAGCATTATGATTGAGAACAAAGAAAATCTTCTTGCTTAATCCCATAACCTAGAAAAGGACCACAGAAGGAAACAACTTTACCCACCACACCAACCGAATGAATCTAGATTGAAGGAACAAAATATTCAAAAGGGACCACAAAGCACAGATGATTGTAACACTATTCTTGGTGCCATTGACAAGTATTTTTCCTTTATTCTAGCAAATCTTGTTTAACTTTTAATGGTATTCAAGATGGGGGTCATAAATTTGTGTTGGAAGTGATATTTAATAAGGGTTTAGGGTTTATTTAGGATTAAAATAAGTTTAAGCTATATTTGATGATTAAGGTTATTTTAAGGGTTCATGTAATTTATTGAGTAATTAAACTGAAAAGTTATACTTTTCTGTTCTTTTGCTTCTTCTATTAGTGTTAAATTCAATTTCAACCATGACTGTACAATTATAGTTAAAGTTTTTAGCATTAGGGTTTATGCTATTATTGTAAATTAGTTATTTCTAAATCTATAAATTTGTAATCAATAATTTAATTTATAAATTTAACAGATTTAATGCTTAAATGTGTATTAATATATATTAATTTATATCTTTTTCTTCCCATATGACAGCAATGGGGACATTAAGAATTTACCATAGTGAGACTTTTTGCGTGAGTCCTAATGAAGATCTTAGGTATGCTGGAGATGAAGTACATGATAAGGATATTGAATATTATCGTATAACTTTGTTGTATTTAGAGCAGAGGGTAAAAAGCCTTGGATATATGCATTTTAAGGACATTTATTACAAAGATCCTTACGTTGAAAATTTTGGTGAAGCATTAAAGGTTATAAATAGTAAGCAAGAGCTTATTCACATGCGATACCTTTTAAATGAAAGGGAATCATAGATATGTACATTAAGCATGCATGTGATGAGCCAAACATTTTAGATATGCTTGAAGGTGGCACTGTTCCACATAAAGCATTGATGAAGGTACAATGAATTTTTCTAGAAGTGATGCAAATGATGAGGACATTGAGGAGTGTTGTGTGACACAAAATTCACAACCAACCGCAAATTGTAATAAAGCTTCAAAAACAGTTAAAGGTGATGGTGATGAAACAGATGTAATGCATGGAGGTGATGCAGCCCAACAACAAGATCCAAAGAAGAATAATCATGATGATAAGGAGTTGCCTGATATTGTGCACAGTGATGCAAATGATGAGTACATTGGGGAAGGTTGTGTGACACAAAATTCACAACCAACCCCAAATTATAATGAAGCTTTAGAAACAACTAAAGGTGATGGTGATGAAACAGATGTAGCGCATGAAGGTGATGTAGCCCAACAACAAAATCCAAAGAAGAATGATCATGATGATGAGGACTTGCCTAATATTGTGCATAGTGATGCAGATGATGAGAAGGTGCTTAAATCTATTAGAATAATAAGAAACATAAAATGCAAATGGTGTTGATCCAAGTGGCATAGTCCATGCAACCCCTACCACAGTTAATGGAAAGGGCGAAAGGGTTCCTGTAAGAATTAATAACCATGGAGATTTGGGTTCTGATTTTAGCTTTGAAAATAGTGAAGATGAATTTGAGGTTTCTAGTGATGATTCAAGTGACTACCTTGTTGCCGATGAAGATGAACTTACAAAGAAAAAGATGTAAGAACTACTATAAGTGGTGATTTACGGTTTAATCCTTCATGGACTAATGTTTCGTTTAAGGTAGGGATGAAGTTTGAGCATGTAGCACAGTTTAAAGAGACTATAGCTAAGTACCAAATTCAAAAAGGCTACAGGTTGAAACCTGTTAAAAGTGACCCCACCAGGCAAAGAATTTACTATGTTGATCAACAGTGCAATTGGCAAATCTTTGCCAGTTTTGATAAAAATGACAAGACTTTTAAGGTGAAGACATATTGTAGGGAACACACTTGCTTTAGGAGTTTGAAGTCCAACATGGTTGGGTCAAGGGTACTTGCAAAACACCATAGGAACAGAATTTTTTTGCAAATCCGCAAATCAAAATTAATGACTTAATGAGACTCTCATTTAGAATTAGGAGTTCATGTTTCAAGGGATAAGTGTAAACTAGCAAAGGTAAAGATTATGAAGGAAGTGAAGGCAACTCACATGAAAGAATTTGCTCGATTAAGAGGGCATGCAAAAGAGCTATTGAGATTGTCCTTTGAGTCAAATGTTCAAATTGATACTTAGCTGCCCACAACTCCAAAGGGAAACTTACATTTAAGGGAATTTATGTGTGCCTAGAAGGATGTAAGAAGGGTTTTCTATTGGGTTGTAGACCAGTGATTGGAGTAGATGCTTGTTTCTTCAAGGGAATGTTCAAAAGAACCCTTTTGGTAGCTGTTACAAGGGATAGGAACAATCAAATGTTCCTAATAGCTTGGGTTGTTGTTGACTCAAAGTGTACCAGCTCATAAACCTTTTTTTTTAGATGCCTAGCTGATGATATATCAAATCACATTGGGAGAGACTTAACATTTATTTCAGACCAACATCTTGTAAGTGTGCATAATTTATTATGAATTAATTTACAAAAATTTTATATTTATGTTACTATAATCATCAATACTATTTATTGGATAATTCAATTTACTTTATTATCAGTTACTAACTTTATTTGTTTTCATTAAACACAATTTGATAAGGGTTGATTAATGTAAGATAAACAATTTTTCCTAAGGATAAGCATAGATTGTGTGCCAAGCATTTATATGCCAATTAGCAAAAAAATTTCAAGGGAAAACTATTGAAGAAAAGATTTTGGATTGTTGCAAGGTTAATGTATAAAGGTTAATCCAACAAAAACATGGAAGAGATAAGAAATTTAATTGTGGAAGGTCATGATGCGTTAAAATCAATCCCACCAGAGCAGTGGTGCAAGGCCTTCTTTGACACATCGTGTAAATGTGATGTGGTGGATAATAACATGAATGAGACCTTTAAAAATTAGATAATGGATGCTAGGTATATGCCAATCATCTAACTGTTAGGATGTATAAGGGTTAAGGTAATGGTTAGGATGGCCAAGAATAGAGAAGAAGACAACAAATGGAAAGGAGATATAACACTCAAAATTAGGAAGAAATTATGAGCACATAAGATTAAAGCAACCAAATGCAAATGTAAATGGAATGGTAGGACTCATTATGATGTTTGGCACTAGAGTGACAAATTTGTTGTGGACTTGGTTGGGAAAAAGTGTAGTTGTAAAGCATGGGATTTAACAGGAATTCCATGTCTTCATGCATTGTCTACAATAGGTTTAGGTCACTTCAACTCGAATGAATTTGTATCAATTTGGTACAAAAGGGTTAAGCACGAACGTGCATACAATGTACTAATCATGCCTTGTAATGGTGAGAAATTGCACTCACCAGCTAATATCGAGAAAGCCTCCAACTTGTGAATATTATAAATAGCCTGATCACACTAGGATAACATGTGTTGCTAGATATTTTGTTGATGAAAATGTAAGTTTATTAAGTGGTAATTACTTAGGATCTATGATTTCCTATTGATAGTGCTCTATTGTTAATTATATACGTTTATTCTTGCTGTTGTTTTGTATTATGCAGTCTAGTCAATCTGATGGACTAAGAATAAGCATAGATTTAGTGAATACTATAATTCACCAGAATTAAACCTTGTAAGTTTAAGCTTAAACTTAACATTCAATTTTGATGTGAATTATGTTGATAATTTATTTTACGATAATTGTTGTTAATTTCTACAGTAAAGTTTATAAGGGGAGACAGCTATGAGACATACCCACCCTAGCCAATTTCATAAGGCACAATCACCTTGGAAATCAGCCAAGAAGAAGGGATCAAGTGAAGCTCAAGGAATGGTTCTTTTTTTTTTTTTTTTGGTTTGCTACATGGGAGTAAAGAACTTGGGTTTAGGGTTATAGAAGGTGTTTTTTGTAAGTAATATCTAAATGCAGTAAATGCATGGAAACAAAGTGAATCATAGGGCCTTCTATCTACTTTGGTAGGATTTGTATTTGGCAAGAATATGTAGGATTTTATGATTTTGGATTTTTGGAGTATGTGATGAAATTCTGGGAAAATGGTGGATGTCTTTTTCTCTTGCTAGCTTTTGTGCAATCCTAGCAAGATAATTATGCAAATGTAACCTTTTTGGCTTTCATTATCAATTAATGATAATGATATTTCCTTATTTATGTACCTTTTATGGTTGTTTACATTAATAGAAGAAATTTTTATTTCCAATTTGATCAATATTCAAAAAAATGAGGTAATAATTTTGGAAAAGGCAATCACTATTCATTATATCCAAAATAAATTACAAAGCTTGGGGACAAATCAGGCCCCATACTAGAATTATTGGGGGCACTACCTACCAACCTTCAACACTACCATTCAATACAACCACATTGCCCACCAAAAAGCAGATAATGCCCAAAAAAAAAAACAAAACTCTCCCCATTTGCCTAGTTTCTTTCCAAGCCTTTTTGAAACCCTTGTTCCCATCAACAAGTAGAACCCAACTCCTAAACAAGAAAAAACAAGTAGAATAACAAGGAAAACAGCCACGACCCACGACCAAAGAAATTTGGCCACATTTCTTCCATTTCTCTAGCTTCACAACATACACCATTGTTAGTGTCAGCAACATACACCATTGTTAGTGTCATCAACATTTGCAAATCATTAACTTTCTTCTCCAATGCCTCAATCTATTGCTCTCCTTTTTCTTCATAATGCTTCAAAACATTCCTAAAAGCTTTGATTTTTTCCTTTGCATCATCCAAATCAATTTCCAATTATGTCTTACTGTTGTACAACCACAAGATAACCTTTTTAGCCCTAAAAAAGAAATATTAATCATACCACACAAAAAACTTACACTATCGCTTTTTGTTCTGCAAATGTCAAACATCACATTTCATTAACAATTAATCAAAACCCAATCTCTATACCAAGAAAAACCCTAATCATTACCACATAATTCCTTCGAAATATTTTAACAAAAAAACCCCTTAACAACACAGTAGTTTAAAATCAAACATTAGGAAAGAAATTACTATAAGATCATAGATTGGGCATCCAAAAAACCTCCGACAAAGATTCTTTTCACTCCAAGACATGCTCCTTGTAGCCTTTAAACCACAGAAGCAAAACCGACTTGGCCCCTCATAATCATACTCATGTCTTCCAAATTCCACCGATGCTGAAGTGTGAGAGTTGTTGGAACTAGCCATTGAACAAGGAAGTAAATGAAATGGGCGTGAATGTGATAGATCAAAGAAGAGAAGGAAACTCATAACTCTTTGTGCCTAAGGATTACTTAAATAGATTTGTTCACATTCATCTGACTACTTTTTTTTTCAAACCTTAGTCAATGAGTGGGGTCCATAAATAAAATTGGTAGCAATAGAATTCCCACTCATGGGGATCCAAGCTAAACTTGCAAACTTGTCAAAAAAGTCTAAGTTGGCACTAACATGTGCATATATGATAGAGGCCAACGATGCACGTGCTGCACGTGATTCTCTTGTGTTAAATTTCACCTCATTTTCTTAAACTCAAAAATATGAAAGGTAAAAAGCCATATATTGTAATATGAAAGTAAAATGCTTCAAATTAAAAAAGTTGAAGGGAAAACAGTGGATTTTTTCCTTTTATTTTGAAGGAATCATGCAAGAATGAAAATGGTATGAGATTCATCGGATTGGGTGTAAATGCAGGAAGATAAGTTTTTTGGGTTCCGTGTTATAGTCAATTAGCAGGTGAATTGTTGAGGCTGGTTTCCAGTCTACCTTTCAAAAGCATAAGTGAGGTGGCAAAAGCATAAGTGAGGTGGCAAAAGCATAGGGCGGGTGTCAAACAACGAGCCTTAAAAGTAACTTCATCTAGCATGGCTCATCTTCCAAAACATATTATTTGCAACTTGTAAGGGTAATATTTGAGTTTAGTTACTTAATTATTGTATGGATTTTTAATTTAATTTTTAAATTAATAAAATTTTTGATTTGGTTCCTATCATTTATTGATTTGGTTTTAAGTTGATTTTTTTATATAAAAATAAATGACATATATTATTATTATGATATATGATCATTAAATAATAATTTTTTACTTTTAAATAATAGATACATTAGCTATTTTTAAATTAAAATCAAATTGATAAACAATAAAGACCAAATTAAAAATTTTTAGTTTATGAATTAAATTAGAGTCTGTACAACAATTAAGAGGTCAAATTAAATGTTTAACCTATTTGCAATGGAAAAGCTCAAACTATATAATACTAATCATATCATTCAATTTATATATTTTAATTAAAAAAAAACTAAATTAGATTATATGTCAATAGAATATTCTCAGTTTTAATTGTACTATAATAACGCAAATAATAAATCATATTAACATTTAATTTATCCTATAACATAAGAAAATGCGACCAACTCATAATTTCATTTTTTGCTTTTATTATTTTATTATTTTATAAAATCCTTCAAGATAACTTATACGGATATTTGATTAATATTAATTTCAATTAAGTGGTAATATGTTTTGGAAAACATTTAGTACCATACTCTTTCCATTTTGACCTAAGCACAGAGAGCCAAAAATCCAAGGATACATTTGATTTCAAGTGAGAGGAGACAATTTTAACGGTGTCTTTTCATTTTCCTCACTTTTTCTTTAATTTTTTTGGATATTTCTTGGGCCAAACATCTTTTATATAATTATAAAATGAGAATCTTGTATTATAGTTCGGATTGTATCATATTGTAATATTAAAATCATAAAAAAATAATAATAAACCTAATATCAAGGATTTTACCTTTTTTTTATGATATTATAATTTAACACAGTCCGAAATATAACACACTTTTTTTTTTATAAAATTATAAATAAAAGTGTAAAAATAAATAAGACAGAACAAGCTGATGGCGTAGGATAACAGAATAAATGGAGTACTGATATACTACACCTGTTGCGCAATTTACTCGAAGGGTTGTTCAGTATTGTAATGTCACATCAACGTCCCTTTTGTCTAATCAAAGAGAAATCTTTATTCAACAACTACCATACATTCAGCTTTGGACTTTTCTCCTCCCCCATCTCTTTT